CCCCGGTCTCGGCCTTGCTTCGGCGGGAGGCCTGTGAAGGGCGCCTGGCGGGGACGAGCCTGCCTGCAGCGTACCCGGCCCGCGGGGCTGCGGCCTGCCGGCCCGGGGTGCTGAGGTGCTGGGCTCACCACGGGTGTGGTGTGTGCTGTTCAGCTGAGGGCACCCAGCACAGCGTTCAAACCCTCTGAAATGCGTAGCAGTTTTTTTTTTTTTTCTTTTTTTAAACTTGCTAGTGGTAGGCGACCTCTGCATCTGAGAGAAATGAGTTGCTGTTCAAGCACTGAAGGTTAAGCTTAGAAACCAAGGTTTCAGTTCTACAGTTAACAGCGGATGATCTGAGTAAACCCCAAGACCTCATTCTGCAGGACTGAAACTGCTCTCTTTCCTGTGTGAGGGGGGTGTTAAGTGAGAATATAAACGCGTGAGGCTGAGGGAAATCCAGGGTGTTGCTGAGTTGCCAGTAATCCAGGGGTTGCTGCTAGGTGAAGCACGTGGTCCCAATGCTGCAAGCTCATACAGCTGTGAGCTGCTTAGGTCTGTTTAGGATGTGCATCTAAATGGAAGGGAGATGAAAAAAAGCATGGGTGGATTTTGATGAACATGACCTTAATACAGCTTAAAAAAAACACTGTAGTACAGAAAAAGTAGTAACAGTTGTGGCCATCTACATGAAGCACATCATGTATAGCTCTTCATTTCTTTTTCCTTCAAGCAGCTCTGCAAAAGGTGGGTTTCTGTAGAAAATCAGGCACAGATAATACAGCCTTGGCATGTTTGAGATGTACAGTTGAAAACCCACATTTTCAATTCCTGCAAATGGATCAACAGTCTTCATGTAAAACACTTGAGATTTTTAAACCTTGACTGAATTTATAAGTTTTGCACTCACTTATGCTGAAAATATGAAAAATAGTTCAGAATTGAAGATTACTGTTATTATTGTTACTCGTTTCAGTACTCATGCAAGTTTTGTGACAAAACAGTGTTGATAATTATCATGTAGAAGGGAGGGTCCTAGAAGGAAGGGAGAGAACTTGAATGAAAGAAGTGGTGTAGAAATAAAACTGCAAAAGCATTCCAGGAGAGCTTAGGAGGCAGAGCATCAACATGTGCTGGTTACCTTGAACAGCCACTGGTTACCTTGATCTAAAGTCCCTTTGAATCTAAACCAAACCTGTAGATTCAGATTATCTTAACTGGTTAAAGATTTGGAAATGAGATGATTCATGTCAAAATGCATATTCAGAGTTGAATTCTGCAAGTTTCCCTTAGCTTTTGATTTCGGAAGAACTCTGCAAACAGACATTGGAAAAACTTTTGGCTTTCAGTTTGACTTTGGCATGTTGTCGTTTGGCTCTTGCACACTGGTTATCTGTTCACATTTACCGTAAATAATGACTAGAAACCTAGCCTGCAACTAGGCTGTTGAAGTAACTTCTGGAAGGGTTTGCCTCCTTCTCTTTCCCCCACCCCCTTAAGACTTTTTGTTTTATGGGATTTGTTTGCAATCTGCTAGCTGAAGCTCTGAGGCAAGTTTGCCAGATCTGGGGCTGCATCATCGTTCTGCACATCTGGAAGTGGTTTATGGGCTCTCATTCCTCCAGTGCGGCGTCTGGACTCTGCTATTCCTCAGCAGCAGAGAAAGAAAAGAAAAGAAAACCAGCACAACTCCAAAGTAAACTTTGAAGAGTTTGAAAAAGGAATTGAATCTTAAAACTGTTACTGTGCCCTGTAAGGCCCTTTTGCGGGGGACTTCAAAGGAGGATGATGGTCAAGGAAGCTTTGGCAAGAGTGCTTACAGCTGTGGGTTATCTAGGATCTGAGTAAATAGCTCTACAGCTCTTCAGGAGAGAGGAGTCCCGAATACTGTGCTGCTTTGAAGAGGTAAAAAGACTAATTAAGCAGGAAATATCTGAGCAGTAATGTCACTGTTTCTGAGCTTTCCCTTCTGCAGCCCCTCATTTTGTTACAGCATTTGGCAACTGAGTTAGGGAGTGCCAGGTTCCAGGAACTGATGTCTACAGTCAGGAAAAATTGAGTAAATATTTGTAGGGGAACAAATATTCCTCTCTTTCCTTAAAAATCAGTGGGTAATCAACCTGAGTTTCTGAGGCTTAGGAGTGCTGTAGTTTTAGAACTCAAACTTGTATGAGAGTCTGTCTGAGTTTGGATTTTAAAGTTTAAAATGTGGTTCAGTTTACGCTGATTTAATAATTTCTGAAGATACCATGAAGCTGTGGCTATCCGACTTCATCTTGCAGTGATCATCAGTATTTTTTGTGACTATAATTACAAATGATAATTAAAATATAGTAGTCAGCTCTATGGGAATCAGTGGAAGACTGTGATTTGCTGAAGTGGGGTTAGAAAGTTACTCCAAGAGTGTAGGGAGTTCTGTTTTCTCTCTGCTTACCTAAATGAGTAAACTTTTTAAATGGATAAGAAGACAATACTTATGCGTAATGCGTGAGAGAAGGGCTTTCTCAGCAGTGGCTTTTTTTTGAACGATAAGCTTGATTTCCTCTCTGTGTAAATTAATGCCACATGAAGAGAGCGGGCTGCTGGAATGTAGATAAGTCCTGCGGATGTGAAAGGACTTTCAGAAGTACTCCTCTCTTCACTTTGATTTAGCTGTCTGTTGGGACCTAAATACATGCGAATGTAAGTGGTTGTAAACAAAGCCACATCTTAGCTTTTTAAAATATTTTTATTGTCTTTTAACTTGTTAGTCGAAGCAGAGACTAATTTAGGATGCCGCCTGAACTTGAGCAGTAACCAATGAGAGGCGGTCAGTTTTGTGACTCAGGTTTCAAGAATTCTTGCTGTTCTGTCTGTCTTCTCAAGGAGTCAGAATAAACTTCATTTTTATGTGTGCATAGAAACCGTCATATATCCTTATCTATGCTGTAA